TCAAAGAAGCCATTATCCTTTCCCCTCTGTTAAAGACGTTTCTTCCTGGCGCATTACAAGCCATATATAAAGACCCCCACAGCACCGAAACTTTCCTAAAGATTTCTAAAAGATTTATTTGAAATGTTCGGAATATTTAATTGCAATGTTTAGTGAAAATTGTGTAAAGATTCAAATGTCCCACTTGAATAAATTTTCAGGAAAATTTCAAAAAGTTTCACACTAAACATTTATTTAATCAAGACATTTAAATCTTTACACAACTTTCACTAAACATTGCAATTAAATATTTCGAACATTTCAAATAAATCTTTAGGAATAATTTATGAAAGTTTCGGTGCTGTGCGGGGAACGTCAAGTTGTTGATCAAGTGTTATTTTGATCAAGTGATGGATAGCTGTTGCAATAACTTTTGAGTAACTCGGATTCTCATCCGGGCCACCATCAACTGTGGAAATTCCAATCGATTTCGAAATCGAACACCCTGGGTGTTTGTCGTTCTTAGCAAATCTTTGAATTTATCAAGTTGAAATAGTCGATGAATATCCATGGTGTTTGTCGTTGTTAGCAAATCTTTAAATTCATCAAGTTGAAATAGTCGATAAACATTCATGACATGAGAAAAAGCCGTCGAATCCGGCAGCGTTACTAGATATTCGACGTGCATAAGTAAAGGCGCTTGTTGACTAGTCTCCGTAAGTCCAATTGAAACCCAAGCCTTATCGTCCTGACTTATGAAAAAAACTTGTTTGGGTCCAAGAATCGAAGCAAGCTTTTTGGAATGACGAATCGTTGCAGTTGCAAAAGCCCCATCCATATGACTTTTGTGTTTATCATTTTGAGCTTTAATTAATTTAACTGGTACCGTAGAAATATGACGTTTTCCTTCGTGAGAGTACGCGCGGATTGTGGGATTAATCGCAAGTAAATTCCGCTTCTAATAATATTGAAACCGAAATCATTTTTAAGTGCTTCTGTTAACTTATCTAACGTTTTAATGCTCCTAATCAATTCAGTTCTTCTTCTTTCATGTTCCGCACTACCAAAAATTGCAATATCAACTATTGTTTTTAATAGAGCAGGTTGATCATCCTCAACCGAAAGTCGACCTTCTTTATCTCTAATTCGCAATTTTTTTTGCCTCTGGATTCTCTGAGCATATTTCTTCCAAAGCCCTCTTCCGTCCAAATCTATATTTTGTTGATCTTTCCTAACTGCTTTTCATAGTTTCTAATTTTTTTTTACTTTTTTCTAACTCAGATTTTTTTGATAAATTCTTACATTCATCGAAGCTTAAAAGTTCCGCATTTTTTCTTATTGTCAATTCTAATATTTCATGAGTTAAGACATTGATCCGATTGTTTAATAAATTTTCGACATTATTTAATGAATCATTGATGTCAGACTTATCAACAGAAGTAGATGTTGAAGCAAGAGATTTCAATTCTTGATTGCTTTGATTCGATTTATTTTTGTTCGATTCAATACTTTTTTATTTAGAAACCTAGGAATATTTTAAGTCATTATAAGCAAAAAAATAATGCATAACAATTACAAACTTTATTGAAATAAAATGTTATATTTATTTGATTTTTTAATTTAAAACAATTTTATGTTAAATTAAATTTCATAAGAATTCTTAAATTTTAAACGTATAAAAATTCTATATTTAAAACTTTTTTATTCTGTAAATCAAATTAAATTTTAGTACTTATGGAATTTTAACAACTTACTTCTGTCCAAAACAGTTTAGCTTTTTTTTATTTGCTATGGAAGACAACTCCTGAAGGTTTGAGTTGAGTTACTTTTCAAAGTCTTTATTTTTTTAATGGAATTCCAAAAGGAAGTACATTCTTTTTGTAATTCTCCAGGTGCAGCGTCTGGAACAGCAGTTTTATACTTTGCAAATTAAATTGGGATATCTTTATTTTTATCCATTGTTCCTTAAAAAATTACACAAATTAAAAATATTTGTTGTATTAAATAATTAATAATACTTTAAGCTCACACGTTGTAAACTTATGAATGAAATAATGTGACCTATCAAATAAAATTAAATGTATAGTAAAAACAAAATTAATAAGTTAATAATTTTAAAATCTACTGCATTAAATAAATAGTATTTAAATTACAACTATTGAAATAGTGTACGAGCAATGTAAACAAATAATAAAAACTAAGGACACCCTTTATCACATAATAACATCACAGAAGCGTTGACCCCCCCCCCTCCACTAACGGTATGACGTAGTTTGTAAACGACCCCTTATTGGGTTGTTTGCAGTCTTCACGTTTTTAATCCCCCATTTAATGTTTTCAATCACGTTATTTGTTATATTCATTTTTGAATTAAAAGCGTTGTTGGAATTTTTAAGTGCAAGAAATTTTTCGCCCTCTAATCGTTTTGTGTGTAACCAGCCATATTGAATTCCTGAGCACACCGCTATCACGATACCTAAAAATTGTGCAAGCTAATATTGTTTATACATTCGTTTTTTGACCTAAAAATTATTAAAATATTGTCAAGATACACTACTGATACTACTCCATTTTCTATAATCTTCTTTACAACCGGTTGTAGGATTTTGTAAATATATTTGGTGCAGTACAGAGGCCGAATGGTAACGCCGAAAACTCATAGCATTTATTATCGAAGGTTAATATTAAGTATTTTCTATCATTTATGTGAATTGGGACATGTAAATATCTGTCTTTTAAATCAATGAATGCAATATAACAATTGGGCCGAATTAATATCAGGGTTGTTTTTATGTCCTCCATTTTAAAATGTGGAGGGTCGATAAACAAATTAATACCTTTCAAGTTTAGTATAACTTGTCATCTCCGTTTTGTTTTCTTTTAAAAAAAAGGGGGAAATGAAACTGCTTTCTACAAGGTTTACACTTAGCTACAGCACCTTTATTTTCTAAATTGTCATGGCATTTTTTTAAGAAATCTTCATGTGAGAGTTCTGGATTGCTAAAGAGATTCTTTTGTATTGGAGTTTCCAAAAAAGGTAGTTTATACCCAGTGACACATTTTAAAATAAATTGGACTGACGTTAATTTTTTCCAGTTATGGTGAAAATTAGATAGGCAACCGCCTATTTTGCTTACCTTAAATTCCTCTGCTGTGGGTTACGCGTTTTCCGTTTTTAGGAAAAATGTCTCCAAATAAAAAATTGTCAACCGATGAGTTTTCTGCTACTATTTTTAGCTTTGAATCTCTGCCAGAAGTTATGAAATTTCTTCTGGTGAGAGATATTTCATGATAGAGATCAGTTAGAAGTTTTCCTGAATCACTAAGGAAGGTCAGCTTATTAGCTGATTTTTCATTTCCAGCTGATCGCCTGACTCTTGAAAAATTAATAGTTTACTTACAGCCGCAGCTAAAGCACACAGTTTGTTTTGCGAAGCTATCTGAAATTGGTCCTTCTTTACCCCCGTCTGGCCGATAATATTTTTAATTTCAGAATTTAATCAAGGGAATGCCCTCATATTACAATTTTTGGCTGAAGGATGTTTCTCAATTAATTCCTTGCAAATTTCTTCTGACTGACCTATCTGCATGATTTTTTGCCGCACTGTTGATAGTGTTTTATTGATTGGAGCACTAATTTTATTATTGATGAAAGGGTCGCCCCCTAGCAATACTACGTCAACTTCTTTCATATAGGTGACCTTTTTTACCGACTGCTGGGCCTCATGCTTTTCCTGGGAAGACGCGTTATCTTTTTAACCTATTAACCATCTCTGCTTGTCAAATCTCTCGGGTTATGCCTTCCGCTGTTACTATGTTCGTCTGATGAGTTGTTATGGCTGCGGGAAATACCTCGAGGATTTTCTCTTGAGGAGTATGAGCTTTTGGATGAACTTCGTCGGGACCTCTCATTGCTCGGATGCTCATTTCCTGATCTATTGCGTGACTAGCCTCTAGAGCGAGAACTTCGGATAGGACTACGCGATCGGTATCGATATGTTGCTTTGCTATCTGATGAGCTGGAACTTGAACAACTTGCTTCGGTTGAAAATGCCTTTTCTTACACCTTTTCCCTTTTTCTTCATTTCTTCTTTTAATTTTTTTATCTTCCGTAAATGTTTTTCTGTAGAATTTCCTCTTTTACTCAGTATTTAACTATGTTTAAAGATTTTTAAACTGTTTTTACACGCCAAGATGTGGTACAGAACGCACAGAAAAACCGAAAGAGATAGGAGCAACACCTAAGTGTGGCGCTAAAAAACATTAGAATCTGAATTACTGTGGCAGAACAAACGGTTACTGTCGCAATTACCTAATTTGATCTTGAGGACGAGGTAGCGTTAATTAATTATATTATTATAATATATATATATATATATATATATTATATTATAATAATTTATAAAATTTTAATTAGTAAATAATATTAAAGAATTCAATATTTTAATAATAACCTTTTTTGAGCTTTTACTTTTTGAATAATGTCTTACAATATTATTTTGATGATTTTTTAAAGTATTATATTGATTTAGAAAACTTTAATTCAAAGCTATTAAATCAATGGCGTAATAATTTATAGCATATGCTATTGAATTAGTAGCAAATGTCTTCGAACGATATTGAATATGCCGTTTGATGCGACAAACTAATATTTCATTGATTCAATAGCATTTTTTTCTCAGTGCATGTAAAAAAATAGATACGTCATCCAATGGATGCGTCTTTTTCAATGTAATGTTACATTTAAAAAAAGAGAATAGCGTATTTATACATATAAAATAATGCTTTTTCCTAAAACCTTAGTAATAAAATGACTTTCGAACATGCAGTCATAGTAAATTATAAAAATTTAATAATTTGCAAAATTTGTTATAATCATTTAAGATTCGTCAAGATTTAAAATATGTCTGTATTTTGAAATTAATAAATTTATTATTTTCTTTATATATATATATGTATACAACTGCGTATACAACTTCTTTTATTCCTCAATGAAAAATGAAATGTTTTTGAAATTGCAGGTTTGATTTGTGCGGAAGGGGAATCTTGGAAGGAGCAAAGAAAGTTTGCAATAAAATGCCTAAAAGATTTTGGTATAGTGAAATATTCATGTATCAAAAGAGATAAATTGGAAGAGAGAATTTTGACCAGTGTCAATCAAGTCATTTTGGTATGAATTTATAACTCTAAAAATTGATGTTGTTTTTAGTCCTTTATCACTCAGTTAAAAAAACTGGTACACGATCCTATACAAGTTTTTTCAACCGGGCAATAGCACCATTATCAGGATCTATGTATAACTGATAAATCATAGAAGATTTTACTTTGTATACACACTAAAACCCCGACCGCTGGGTCGGTTTGGTCATGCTAACCCACCGATCGGGGTCCATCGAAATGTAAATAAAGAGGGTCGTACGAACTGTTTTATGCTCCCATGCCTTTCATTAAATACATATTTTTCACTAGTAAAAACTAAAAGGGGCAACAGCGCCTTCAAACGAAAGATATTAGTTCAACTCTGCTGTCGCCACGATGTTAGTAACTTGTTTCGCTATTTCTCCTTTTCTATTCTGTGATTTAATTATTTAAATTCAAAAAAAATTACAAAATAATTTTCCATAAAACTATTAAATATTTATTTTACTAAAAATTGTATTATAAAATTTCTAAAAATTTTCCACGCAATTTTGCTTCAAATTGTTCTTAAAACTTTTCGACAATTTTGCTTAGCATGTTTTTAGAAAGTTTTTGTTATAAACTTTTCAATATCTGCCACAAGTTTGCTGCAAACTTACCTTACAAACTTTCAAACCTTGCACTGCAAACTTGCTGCAAGTGCCGTGCTATTTGGGCGTGTGTTTAATGTAGTAAAATTATTTTCTTTTCTATATTTCTACTGTTCTTAGAAACAATATCATTCCAGAGAATCAAAAAAATTTTGATTACATAAAACAACACTAGCGGAGAAGCAGGTAGGTTAGAGTATCGTGTAAGTTGGACCGGTGCTATGAAGTAGTACAAGGAGCAATCACTCTATAGGCCGTTTCTGAAAATTCTGCCCTAGTTTTGCCGGATTTAATAAAAGCATTTACATATCGACGAATACTAAAAACCCTAGCAGAAAAGCGAGGAATTACAGGTCACGTGGTGGATTGTTATATAAGTGTCTGCGTGTAACTGTCAGTTGGCGTCTTTTTTTAAAATGTTCTTGATGCCGGTTTATTTCGCATAATTTGAAATAAAAATAAGTGAAAAAATGATCCACTGCTTTGTAAAAGTATATTTTTTTGTTTACATAGGAATATAACCTAAAAATAACAAACAAAATTTAAGAAATTTCGTATGAAATATATACGACTAGAATTAAAAAGAATTATTTATATGTCTATTATTATTATTTTCCATAGAAAATTTTCTTTTCTTTATATTTTCACCAAATTTATTTTCAAATAATTTCTATTTCATTTACACTTTTTGTGTATAACTTTTTTCTTTCTTTACACTTTTTCTAAAACTATTATACATCACTTTACACTGTTAACTACACGAAAGCAGCTGTCACTAGACGCGGCCATATTGCGAATACTGCTAAGTACGCCGCTTTTCCAATAGAGGCGTCATAAACGATGATATGTAATTTCGGATTTAATTCTTCTACAGGGCAAGAAGACTAGAACAAGGAGAGAAAAGTACAGTGGTGGGGATGGAAGAAATAGTAAGCCTAATGGAGGTTCTACAATAGGTGCAAAAGCCAAGTACAAGTTCAAGTCCAAATGCAAATCCCATGAGTGCAACAGAGTTAGATAGACTACCTATCCCCTTCGCACTCATGAGATTGCCACTTGGACTTGTACTTGGCTTTTGCACCTATTCTGGATCCACCTTGACAGTAGGCTCTCCAACGAAATTTTGATATATGACCGTGAGACGAATTTCAGTATCTGCGCTTAATAACACATGCATATTTTTATATCGTTGATTTGTTTTCCTGCGTTTTGTTTTTGCGGTATTTTTTTATTTAGTATTTTTAACCAAAGTGAAAAATTGTTAATTAATAGTGAAAATTTTTTAAAGTGAACAATGGGGCGAATTTTTTGTGGTGAAAATAACGATAAGAAACAGATGTTTTCTTTTCCCAAAAATGAGGTTAGTTTTTTCAATTTATTAAAATATAAATATGTTTTCACTGCAGAAAAGGGAATAAATGTTTTATTTCGAATATAATAAGATTGTTTATAGTTATCTGTGATTTAATTTTATTTAGTATGTAAATCGAAAATATTAAAGGTTTTGAGGTTAGAATTGAACATATCTGTATATATTTATAGTTTCAAGTTGTTAACGATTTTCACTAAATCAATTTTTGTTCATACATTTTAATCACCAAATTGTAAATATAACCTAAAATATTTTTTTTGCCTTCTTTGGTCCTTTTTACAGTGGAGCTTTACAATTTTTATTATATGAAAATAATACCTTTCAAACTAGATGCGAATTTCTTCCCACTGAATACGTTCTTTAATAAATGCACAATCTTGGTATAATTATACGAGGACAAAACATCAAAAACACGAGTTGACGTAAGTTGCTCACAATTATAAGTCGTAAGCAGCTATTCACGCTGTTCACTAACATGTATGTGTTAGTATGCGCAGATACTAAAATTCGTCTCACGGTCATCTATCAAATTTCGTTGGACAGCCTACCGCAGTGTCAATATCTGCTCCCCCTATACACTGTATAATTTGAGCTTAATTCACTCTCCTTGTTCTAGTTTTCTTGCTACAGGGGACCTATATATACTTAACAGCTCGTATTTCATTTTATCACTCTGATGCCATCTACCTATTTTTGTAAGAACTGGTTAGAAATGTCCAAAAAAAACTTTTTACGTCACTTACGGTGATTTACAGCGAAGCGTGAATAATATTAACATATAACGTAACTAAGTGTCCCCTCACAACAAAAGGATATTCAGGATATCCTTGGGACGTCCTGGGGATATCGATTTTTTTTCGGCGGTTTGGATATCCCTGGGATATCTTAGAGATGTCCATGGATATCCAGAGGATATCTTAGGGATATCCGAATCGCCAAAAGCAAATGGATAACCCCAGGACGTCCCAGGGATATCCTGAATATCCTTGTGTTGTGAGGGTCAAAGCGTGAGTGGCAAACTTCAACACAGTTGCTAAAAAAATGTATAATTTCTACAATTTCTATGCAAAAGTCAAATTAAGTTGACTTAAACTGTTCTTATTATGTAGTATGAAAATGTGAAGTAATTTTTGATATTTGTAATACGCGTTTGTGAACTACATGATACGATGAAAAACGACTCCTTGGTATAGGTTAGTGCGCTAAAAGTCGGATAGGTTGGCGCTCACGAAATTTTGCAATTACACGACAAAAATCTGACCTATACGGTTTATTTAAATGCTTATAACTTTTTAACTTTTTGTCCAATCATTTATTGATGTACAGCAAAAACACATTTTGATAAATCTTTCATCCTCATACTATAATATTCGAAATTTGGCCTAGAACAGAAGTTATAAACACAAGTAAAAAAACGACCTAACCTACTTTTTTATACCTAAAAGTATAAAAAAGAAAATTTAATTCAATTATTTCCGTTATCTTTATATTCTGCTTTACACTTCTTTGTACTTGCATAAGAACTCTGTCGACTTCAGTAGTACTGCAATGAGGATATCAACGCACATACCATCCGAGGTAAAGAAATCTATTTACCTACATTTTTAGTGAGTTTGGAGTGAGCTATTTTATCTTACTGGCCGGGTTAGCTCTGGTTGTCAACGTCGGATGACACCACTCTATTTGCCCACCAAATTTAAAATGGCTTGGCGTTGGGTAAATTTTATTCAAACATTTTAAAGTCGCTTTGTTATATTTTGAAATTTACTTGAAAGTAAATAATACCCCTTAACCGTCGCGCTACCAAAGATTATTGTATTTGTGGACTGGTGAAAAAACGAAAACACTTTGGTATGTTCGTAAGAGATTTGCAAGTTAGCAGGAAAACTCAAACGAACATGCAAGGGTGATAATGGTAGTATATAATATAAAATAGTATAAAGAGTATCAATTTGAGAAAATTCTGTTATTGAAAGTGGACATTAAAATATTTCTTTGTATATGAAGGAAACCGAGTCTTTATTAAGTGATCGCGCGTGAATCATAATGTCTTGCAAGGTGGAAGCGAACTGACAAGAGCAAGGAGGAAAAGGATCTTGTCCAGTCTCAAGAGTCCAAAAGTCCAAAAAATGGATGAAGAGAACGAAAAGTACTGTGGAAATTTAACACGTTATTTTTAAGATTGATTATAGTTTTTCACGACCGGATGATACCCGATAGTCATGGTCGAGCGCAGTTAATGCGATAAAAATGGGTCGACTCGATTCTGACTAGTTCATGGGTACCAACCTTTTTACAAAAGATGAAAAAAGTGAAAGTTTCAAATACTCAAATTTGTAGAAAAATTATTTTGTAATGAATTTTACATTTAAAGATTCAAATATTTCCGCCCATCTTCGTCAATTTAATTAGTAAAATTTTCATAAAGAATCATCCTTTACAGGGTAATAGACAAAATTTTGTAATTGGTCGTTTAAAGATTAAAGTCGGAGTATTCACAGGTGAAAAGTCTGAACAGGTCATCCTTCCCTGGATGAGATTTCAGAATGCATCCGAGTGGCCTCTTTGATTAAGGATACCGTTCATCAATGATGTGGACCAAGCAGCCAGGTTTGATTGAGTCAGTGGGTTGACTCCACTTGCTTGTTGTCTGATAGCGATAAAGACATTTCTTGAACCACCGGTTTCAGAAACTATCCATCATATGCCGAAGAAGTTGACATCGTGATAGCCTGGCTGTTTTTATGTTTTCGAGATTAAGCTCAGGAATGGTCGTCAGCGGTCTGCCGATAAGGAAGTGCCCTGGTGTGAGGGCGTTGATGTCGTAGGATCTTCTGTGAGAGTAGTCGTGAGTTGAGGACAGCTTCTACCTGTGATAAAAAACTATTCATCTCCTCATTGGTGAGGAAATGATCGCCAATGACTCGTTGAAGATGGTGTTCAACAGCTCGTACACCAGCTTCCCAGTATCTATCAAAGTGAGGAGCAGCAGGTGGATAGAATGATCAC